GTGACGTTTCGTTGGCATCATATGTATCAGAATGGCTTCAAATGAGGTGGCGCGAAATGGTATGCACGGCTTCTCATGGGCCTGGCTCAGAAGCGGAAGCATTTGAAATCTTAAAAAGGGCATAACTTTAAAACACAGGAAATGACCTTAAAATGACTATCTCGGTCCCAGACTACATACCAGTGGGGACTAGTCACTTAAATGTCACCTGGTTGGCGTAACATGATTTACGCCAGTGCTGACCAAAGGAACAAGAGGCAAAAATGCCTCACGGTCAGTTTACTTAAGTGCATCTGAACCTCGCCCGCCGGGTTCATCTCAAAGACGGACATTTCGCGCACAGAAGACTTAAATAGATGATGCGTTGTCGCCGGTATCACCCCTCATACTAGGTATGCCAAATACATGATACACACATGGGCGAAAATTCACAAAATGAGTTCGGGAGGGGGAGGGCGGGACAATGAAAGGTGACCCAATCCACCCCCAAAATATGCCAAGAAATGGCTTACTCCCCAGATTTAGCAAACTTTCATCCTAAAGCTGGTGGATGGGGAGCTGGAGTACAAGTTGGGTGAGGTGGGGGGGGGGGGGGGGGGTAAGACTTCAGCCCCCCGACTGAATAGGATGTTACACCCGTGGGTGCACAGAATGGGGAGTCGAAAACAATTTCCTCCTGAGAGCGTGCATCTCCGTACCCCGAATTATTCCAGGTACATTCAAATGATGACGTGTAAAAATTGGCTTTCGAAATACCTGACAAAGTCGCGTTTTACGAGGGCGCTCATCTAGATAGCTTTTGCCACCGCAATGCCGGCAGCAACGGCTGTTAAAGTCAATACCTCGTGCAGCAAATTTGGTTCACCACCAGGGCCTCGATGGGCGCCTGTGGTGTAATAAACGAATACGGAATGCTGAATACGCATTGTAAGTGTTGCGGCATCATCTTTAATTACCCGTCTATTCATTGGAAACCAACTTAACAACGCTCTAGGGAGCTTACCTGGCCACAGCAGTTTTCTCATAACGGTGGGTTCTAGTTTTCATATTGCCACGGCAACCAGAAGAAGAACGGAAAACTTTCTGGTTGTCAGGTTGTAGCCGGCGATCCGCTGAGGTTGCCTTCAGACTGCTCATGGTGACAATCGCACTGGACATGACATTGTGATGATGGTGGATGATTGTGGGGCTCCTTTTCAAACAAAAGCGCGATGTACATCAGCGATTGAAGCAGCCTGACACTTCGCACTCTTTTGTCCTGAAATAGGCATGGTCTATCTGGATGTGGGTGCGCCTTTATTGGACCACCGGAAGGCTACAAGGCCTAACCGAGGCAACGAGGAGCTACGTGTCCTGAGACGGTTTTTTTGCAAACCTTAGCTGTGTCCTCGGAGTGAAAAAGTTTTAAAAAAACAGTGCTTCATCAAATGTTCCCCCTTGTACCAACTAGTAGGTAATAGCAGATGAAACTGGCTGTAGTTGATGGCATCTTAGTTGAAGATGGATATAGTTATTTTAGATAAATATGAGGCTTGTATAGGCTTGGATCATTATATGACAGGTGTATTGACGGAAAGCTGGACCGTCTATGACGGATAGACACACTTATACACATTTGTAGATAATAGAGGTGGCCCATACGACCACAATAACATCCAGACTTATCCTACACATCCAGCAAATGCAGTTCAGAAATCCACTGTTTTATTAGCATAGACGAATACAGCACAGTAGAGGAGCGTGTCGCCGCAGACAAGCCAATACAAGACATAAACACCAGTTCTCTGATCACGACTGCACAGCTCGTTACGCCATGCGTCATAAGTTCGTGTTGTTGTTGTCGTCACCGCCGTTGCGTCATAAGTTCGTGTTGTTGTTACGACATTGCGTCATAAGTTCGTGTTTTTTGAATGTGATAATCCGCTCCTAGTATCGACGTGAAAATTGCACAGGTGAAACCCACAGCCCGAGGGTACCTCCTACACGAACAAAATAATTTTCTAAATCGTTCGTAAGTACCGCTTTCCGTCCGCCCGTGCGTTAACCGCCACCGAGCATAAACTGCGGAGCCTGGCGCCACGCGGTCCTTGGAGACTGCAACGCCGGACGTTGGTGTTCTTTTTTCCTGAACTGCGAGGGCACACGCGTGATACATTTTTTTTTAGAAGCTTGTCGCTGATGGATTCTTAAGAGATGGCACACCTCCCAGGAAAACAAGCGCTGGACATAGCAATGCAAATTACGCCGGTATTCAATCCACGGCCCCCCAATATCTTTGTAAAACCCCGAGAAAACCGGCAGTGCCCCTGACTGTTGTCTTTTTATTGAAAGGGCCGGAGGAAGCATCGTGCAGTGAACAGCGCTTGTGGTTTTTCGATGCACTCGTTAAATTCCTGGTTGATGTAATTCTATTTACTTCTAAAACGCATGGCATGATTGAATATTCTGATAGCTTTTGGCATCTATTTCAACTAGGACACCCAGCGTAAAACAGACAAGACAAAACATTATTTCTCAAATAGAGTAGGCTAGATACGCTGGATTACTTTTCAGCTGAAATAGAGGTTAGATCACTGCTCCTTTCCACCTGCAGCGACCCTTGTTAACCGCTGCACCTCCCTCTTACCGTGGCCCTTGCTGCGCCCGTGGCCACAGCGTCTGTGCATCCCTTAATCCGAAATCCGAAAAAAACGAAATCCCGGAGAGCGGTTCAGGTCAACGCAGCCCATGAGGAAAGGTTCGTCGCCCACAAGCACGAAAAAAATCGACTGTAGATGCCCTTAATAGAAAGTGTACAAAGTTTGGTAATAAAATAAAAATATAAAAATGCAAAAAAGTTTGGGAAGTATACACTTTTAGAAAGTGGGATTCATCGCAATAGAGCAGATATGCGTTTAGACCACCAACAGTAGCCGTTGAATATGTACGTAATTGGATCAGTACGAACGATAAGGGAAGGGGCTGAAGTGTGAGTCGCTTAAAGTTGCCACTGATATGCACATAGAAAGCTGAATACGCACATGCAAAAAACACAACAGGCATATAGATTGCTCCGCGTTAGTTTGACAAAAATAGTTGTCGTTCATTGAAATAACGATGATCTTTTGCGCTAATCGACCAACTCATGGATATCTGAAAAAGTAGCCCACGTATGTGCATGACTGGGGACAGATAGTTTCAGTCATATTATTGAGATACGCGAAAGTGCGCGTGATAAATATATTCGAACGCAGCAACAGAACAAATGGCTTCGAATGGGTTTCTGACCGCTTGACGCCTTCTGCTACCTCCCCAGACATTCCGGCATTCGCGTCATGCGTTGTCCCTTGAGTCATTACGACTTATAAACCGTGTACATCTTATTTTTTTCGCTTTTAACCATTCACTGTAAAGTCAGCAGCATACAAAGTGCACTTTCTACTGGTTTTGTCGTACATAACCTAACAATGGCTACTCGTTCGAATCGTGCTGTCGTGTCTCACTTCGAAAATATTTGGAAGCCACCTTTTACCCGTTTTGACACATCTACAAAATTATTAACTGAGAATGGCAAGATCCACTGGCCTCTGGAAATAAGGTGAGCCATGTGCAATGTACCTACTATGCCCAGCCCTCCACAAAGCGTCCTTATTAAAAGGGATCTGAATGAAGTGACCAAAGTTTGGGGACTTTTGTGAGGGGAAAGGCACCAAGATGGTTACATGGGGTACCACAGTGGAGCGTGGTCTCTCCCCTGACTGAAGACATCAGGTTCCCCGTGATGATGACCCCCCTTTCCCTGCTCACTCGGGTAATTGAAATATATCGCTGTCTTATTGGTCCTCTTCGAAATCTTGACAACACAGTGCCTGCATCTTCTCTCTTCAAGTTTGGTTTGTATCAGGCTCCACCCAACCAGGCTATATGGGCGTTGAGCAGAGTGGAAAGGCGTGGGAAAGGACTACATGCATCTGGGAGTGCTCTTGCCGAGATCTACCCCGAGCGTGCGGGTGCTCGGGGACCTCCCGTCAGGGCGCCAGGGTGCTCGGGGGACTGACTCCCGTCAGAACGATAGGGCGCTTGGGGACTGCCATCAGGGCGCCAGGGTGCTCGGGGACTCCCGTCAGGACGATAGGGTGCTTGGGGGACTCACATCAGGGCGCCAGGGTGCTCGGAGGACTCCCGTCAGGGGCGCCAGGGTGCTCGGGGACCTCCCATCAGGGCGCCAGGGTGCTGGGGGACTCCCGTCAGGGCGCCATGGTGCTTGGGGGACACCCGTCAGGGTCCCAGGGTGCTCGGGGGACTCCCTTCAGGGCGACAGGGTGCTGGGGGACTCCCGTCAGGGCGCCATGGTGCTTGGGGGACACTCGTCAGGGTCCCAGGGTGCTCGGGGGACTCCCTTCAGGGCGACAGGGTGCTCGGGGGTCCCCGTCAGGACGACATGGTGCTCGAAGTATTCCCGTCGGAGAGGAATTTCAGCCCCATCATAACTGATGCTCGCAGCACGCCCCGGATAAGCGGGTCACCGCGGGCATGCAGATGCGGCGCAAATGAGGAGAGAAGGCCGGTTAGTAAGCCTTTCCTCCGTCTTCCCTGTACCTCCGACGGCGGGAGGGCTGTCTCCGTGACTGACCTACACCACGTCTGGCCCACGCGCCACGTCCGCCGCCAACCTCCCAGCGCCTGGGCGGCGCTCAGATAACGGTTGTGCGCGCGCCGCCAGGCCACGCAGCCGCCGCCGCCGCGCCGCCGGCGCCGGGCGTCAGTGGTCGGAACGCGCGGCTGGCCGAGGCCGGCGCACGCGGGCGGACGCGTACCCCAGCACGACGACCGACCGTCGCCGCTGGCTGGCGTCGGGCGGAGACGGACCCAGTCCCGCACCGCGGCGCTGGCTCGGTCGCGGCGAGGAGCGCCGGCACGGCTTGAAACGCCCCCACGGTCCCTGTCGTTGCGGCCGCACCAGGGGGCGTTAACTGCTCGGTACGGTCGGACTCGCGGTGAGCCGCGACAGGTGTGTTTCGGACGACGGCAACCAGCGGCCAGTCGAAGCTGGGGCGCCGGAGCGGACTGAGCCAGACGGCAAGGCCGAGCGGCAGGTGGATTAGTCGCGAGTGCGCCTTGCAGCCGCCGGTGCACTGGCGCCAATCGTGAGTTGAAGCTGCATTGGAATGAGCGACTGTGATGCACCCCGGAAGCCACTGAACGGACACTCGCGCCCGGGCATCTCAGCAGGCACCCTCGGACGCCGCTGTGCTGATCAGGAGAGCGCGCTACAGGTGAGTTTGCCCTGGTGCTGGCCGTTTCGGCGCCGGCCATCACTGTCGCGATAACCGCCTCGATGCTTTACCTCGCACCTTATCTCGGCACGTGCACCGGTGGGCCGTCACCCACTCTCTGGGGCGACCGTACACCGGCCGAGCGCGGCGCTTCGAGTCGACCGCAGGCAACAGGTTTTCGTCTGGCTGACTGACGTCGACCCTTATGGCGCAGTTCCGTCGCGGGGGCGGCAATGAGCGAACTGTGAGGACGTGCCCGGGTGGCCGGTTGGATGCTTTGCGCTCGGGTGTGCGGTGACGGTCAATTTGAACTCCTGAAATCTAAAGAAATAAAAGAACTAGAAACGCCTAGTTTAGTGGGCAGGTGGATTTCTATATAAGCTTGACTCTGTCAGATGTTGAGGTTTCTAGACTATGACTTTCGGGCCGAATAAGATCAAACAAGGTCAAACTCCAGATGCTGTCCGAAGTGTTCGCAGATCTCCTCGTACAACCACCCTTAACATAGGTACCTCTTGCGATCAGAATAACACTGGCTTTGATATCAGGTCATTGACGCTATTGACCTTTGGAGCGTAAAAATGACCATATAATTTCGGGATTATTTTGATCTTTAATTTTACAATCAGCTCCAAGTACCAACCTACGCGGTATGCTCCTCAAAGCAAATTGTCTGTCGAGGTCATTTAGGTCAGTGACCTCCCCTGAACTTCATGAAGTAAAATAAGACATGTTTCAAATCGTCATGCTCCAGGAACTCAAAATGAACGTCAAAACTACGTAAGTTTTTCAGTAAGTTATAGGTTTAGTTTTGACCTGATCTGATCTGCATTGCCGGCCCAAAGTCAATCAAGTCAGACGTAATTCTAATAACAATGTCTATTGTGTAATATAATTGTCTAAGAAATCGTCTCAAAGTTATATGACTTCGTCTAACACTAAGCTGCCGCATCATATTTAACGATTTCCTTGGAATTGCGTTCTCTGACAGACATGACTTGATTTTGACCTGCCGTAGGTCAGCGACCTTACAAGGTGTATCTGATTTGTCATACCAAAAGAACGGCTATTGAATTACCTTTAGCTACACGCCACACCGTTTTTGAATAACTTGCGGGGAAAATTTCCGGGTTTCCCATGCGCTGCATGGAGATGAAGCAATTGATTTGTCTGGGAACTTCCGTAGCTTTGAGCTTTCTATCACGATAATTTACGCGGGCGCTCTCCTTAACGAGCAACTGGAGGTCTAGCGGCATTTATCAGAGAAGGGCAATGATCCGATCATGAGCATGATCTATCTGGTCTCCGATACGCGGAGACTACCTAGAGATCGAAAGCAGCCACGGATGCGGCATTTGAAACGAGACAGGCATAGCTTGATAGGTTGATATAATGTATTTCAATAAATTTTGTTTATCTGTTACTGTTGGGTCCTGACTCTGAGTAGGGTCTGGTTCAGTGGGCACACGCGACCGAACGGATGGGTCTATAGCGCATTCTTGCAGGCTCTGAACCGTTGGCTGAGTCAGGAGGCGACCAGACGCGCAAGGCGGCAAAATGATTGCCTGCGTGTACATAGCTGAACGACTTGTTTCAGGGAGCTTTCCCACTTTTTACTTTTCAAGCATTGCTAGGTCCGACGCCTTAGATTTGATCAGCAATACCAGCCCCCTCGAAACCCTTTTGAATCTTTTATTTTTTTTCCTTTTGGAAAATAATTTCAATTTGAAGAAGCCGCTCCGACGCGAGAAATCTGATTTCCCCGGTCCCCGGTCCCCGGTCCTCGGTCCCCGGTCCCCGGATTCCTCGGTCAACACCATGCAAGTCGTACATTAAATTTGCCTTGCTTTTTTCCGACGTGAGTTTTCTGCAATGTTTACATTACACTACTTCGTCAAAATATCTGTGTAATTAATGCTGCGAAAGCTTCATATGCACTGTTTAGACAAAACAATATGCCAACATGAAACTATTATTCCGCGAATTAAACGAAATGTTTGCTATGGTTTGGATTTCCCCCCCAATGGCGTTTACCACAGTGGCTTTTTTCGAGGCGCACTTTGGCTTCGGTAATGGAGTATCACATGGTTCATAACGACGATTTGAATCAAAATTCAACCAGTGCGCTTCTCAGTAACAGACTCCGTCGCCCGTTAGGCCAATCAGAATCGTCCTTTCATTCGCAACAGTATAGATGCCGCGGTAGTTGTCCTTATGACGGTGATTGCGGCGGCTGCAGGAAGGAAGCGCAATGTTGTTGCAAAGCGTTGACAGCGTAATTTGGACTCGGAAACAATAATATGGATATCCTTATTGTGCCTTGACGGTGCTGGAGTAGCTCTATCCAGTGCTTTTATTGGACGTAACTGGCGCTGAGGTTTCACTAGAGTATGTTTTTGAAATATGTCCTAAAGGAGGGACACTGCCTTTAAAAACAATATCGTGCGCTCCGTAGCAGATTCTGATCCAACGCTCCAAAGCCCGGCAGCTTGAACTAGGAAGAATCCGCCCGGTAAGGCTTAACCTGATGGTGGCGATAAATGCACAGTAAAGTGGAGCGTAACTAACTACGGAAGTCCCGATTACCGATTTCCTCAAACGTCGACTGCTCATGGGCGCAGCTGGCCGACCCGCATGCCCGAGGCCGTTTAGGTCGATGACATGTCAAATGGTCCAAGGGTAATCGATAGACCATATCTGTTGAGTATCCGACACCCGAGCTTATAAGGCCGCTCACCATCTTTAAGACGCGCGATGGAGGTAAACGTGACCTGCCCAGAAGGTGACCGGGTCAGGACACCAGAAGTCTGCAAGGGTCATCAGAGACGTCCAAAGACGCCAAAATCGGGCGCGAACGATTCCATGCTCCGAGCTTGCGGGCTTCTTACCTACTTGCTCATCAACAAACCTTCATTCCTTGACGCGCTTTAGTCGTTGGCCTGTCCTGTCCAGAACATGGTAGCATTTGGGCGCAACAAGATTACCGAGCATACCCAAAGCTGTAAAAATCGGTTGCAGATGATACCACGCCCATCCCCTGTGGAATGTATCGTGATAAGATCTTCACCACTCGGTACGCTAGGATGGACAGCCCATGTTCTGCAGATCATGATGACCTTGGGTCGGATCGAAGACCACCAAACACACCCAAAATCGCCGGGATGTCTATAACCAATTTCATGCCAGAGGCCTATGGCACTAATCGGCACCAGAGCTTTATCTTTCGATGCCCATTAGTCAATAAACTGCCCTCTGTAGGCCATGGTGACCCTGGTTTGATCGAGGTCGCTAAAACGCTTTGTTAGCCCCCAGAGTTGGCTACTGACCAGTGACGCCGACAGCCAATAATTTAGGGAGTGAGCCCCTTGGTCAATGTCTCGTTGGATTCTGCCCAGGGGTGGGCACCAGGAAAAAGTCGCCCGCCAGCCTGCAGACAACACCTGTACAAACGCTATCAGTTCACAACCGTCTGCCCCCGTCCGGGACTCTCTACCAGCGTGCCTTGGGACAGTTTCTAATGCCTGGCAGCCGTCGCGACCAGACCGTGCGGAAACGCTGGAGAAGATGCATAACTGTCACGTCCGCGCCCAGCACTCAGGCTGTTTGCAGAGCCGTCCCTGCAGAGGGGGATGCCGGCCGTCAACCTAGAGGATCCGCCAGGGGACGCTGTACTCCCCCAGTCGGCCTGCGAGAGCTCCGTTCCTTTCATCTTTGCCGTATGGTCACGCAGGACACTAGGAGTACACACCAGGAAGGCAGTTGTACTTGTCCTGAAGTGCACCTTTTTACTCTCAGCAAAAACCCCGATCCGCACTAAGCGGATTGCTTCGCAACGGTTCGGAAAGATCACGTAGTTTCATTATAAATCAAGAGATCAGAGAAATATTTACGGTGGCCTGGAGCATTTAGGAAGGTCGATAAGAGACAAGAGCCCTGAAGCAGTTCCGCGGACATAGCTGGAGGCCCCAGGCGGAAGGGGCCATCTAAACAAACGTCGATATTGTCTCCGGCCAAACCCAGGCAAGGTATCTCGCTGCAACATGTGGAGTTGTTGCAACCGGCACCCCACAGGCTGTTTCTGTTTAATCCGTTAAGGACGCAGTGAGGAATCTCTAGGCGGATTCCCAGCGGGAGGACATGCCAGAGAGCTCCAAAAGGAACACTACAGGCCTTACAGAGTTTACAAACATTAGAGGGGCGCCCCACATTTGTATGGAAGCTGAATTGAAATTGCCATTTTGAAAACCATTCGGTGCAGCTGGCGTCTTGCCCTAGTTAAGATTCAAACCCTCCAGTTTCTGAGCTAAACGTTCGCGGAGCTGTGCAAACTATTTCGGGCATGCTATTTCAAGGCCATCCAGTCATCCATAAGCCATAACAACACTATTAAGGTCTTGTCCTTCCACCGACCATGCGGCGGTCAACGCCACGAAAACACCATTGTCGAATTGTTCATATCTGGCGTTTGTGAGCACGACTTCCAGGTACAACGACCGTCAGTAGGCTCTCAATCAATGTTGTGCAAGGTACGATGACGCAATCAAGCATTCACGTAGTGAGGAGCATATTTAATAAATGAGGCAATTGTGTTGTCCAGAGTAGTCCCCCCCACTTAAAAGTATACCAATAGTCATAAGTGATCTTATTTCTGACGCTTGCTTCAATATCTTAAAATGTGGAGCATTCTCTTAAGGGAGTTTTCCGGTCTGCCGTCTTATCCTGCTGCGATCACGTGATCAATGACTGCCCTCTTGATCTGTGTGCCACGCGATCAAGGTCTGCTACCATGACCTCCGGACCACGCGATCATAGTCTGCTATCATGACCTCTGGAATCACGCCATCAAGGCCTGTTACCATGGCCTCCGAACCACGCGATCAAGGTCTGCTACCATGACCTCCGGACCACGCGATCATGGTCGGCTACCATCACCTCCGGACTGCGTGATCAAGATCAGCTACCATGACCTCCGAACCACGCGATCAAGGTCTGCTGCCATG